GTGGGGGTTGGGGGGCGCAGGCCTGGGTGACTGTTGCTGGAGGAGATGGGCTGCTCTGTGAGGGAGAAGTATCGTGATGAGGAAAGAAAAGGCAGGAAGGAAGGGGAGCCCCCCACAAGTGTGGACCTCACAGCTACCGGGTTCACCTTTCTCTCTGAATTGCTTATGGCTTTGTCAGGGAACCGCCTGTAGGCTCGCTTAAAAAATTGTTGTTGTTTTTTTCTTTTCAATTACAATTAACATTCAATATTATTGTGTATTAGTTTCAGGCATACAACATCATGTTCAGACAATCAGATACTTTACAAAGGGATCCCCCCGATAATTCTAGTACCCGCCCAGCACCATACCTTATTCCAATATCATTGCCTATATTCCCTATGCTGTACTTGACTATTTTGCAACCGCCAATGTGTACTTCTTAATCCCTTCACCTTTTCCACCCGGCACCCAGCCTCCAGTCCCCGGCCCCTCCCTCTGGCGACCGCAGGCTGCTCTCTGTGTCTGTGCGGACTCACTTTCTCAGGCGGCAGGATCTACAGGACTTGACGACACTTCACTTTTGTGTGCAGCAGAAAAGGCAAACCAATTTCCCTGCCTGTCACTTTAGGGAGGGCTTCGTGGCTTATTTCCTTTCTTCTGGATCCTGCTTGCCTCACTTTGCAAGATAAAAAAGGCAGGAGAAGTTCAGCTGCCTTAATTTAAAAAAAAGAGATGGAAGGTCTACCTGATATTCAGGATAAAAATCTGTCTTGCTGCTGGGTTATCTCTTGGGGCAAGCAATAAAAATGGCACAGGAAAAGCTAAAAAAAAACCAAAAAACCCAAAATGGCAAAAAGAGTTGATAAAAAGTTCTTAATGTGAGAAGCTGCATGAGCTAATGAATCAAGACTCCGGGGGAGGACGAGAAGCAGGCGAGAGGCGCTTTGCAGGCTCTGCAGCTTGTTCTACTGCCCTCAGTGTCCATAAAATGAGTTCGGTTGAGTCCTTCCCTGTGCCTTCTGCTGGGCTGGGTGACTGTTTTAGTTGGCTGGGGCTGCAAAAACAATGCCACAGGCCAGGAACTTAAGCAAAGGACGTATAATTCCTTACAGTTCCGGAAGCTGAACGTCCAAGGTCAGGATGCCAGCATGGTCAGGCTTTGGAGAGGACCCCCTTCTTGGCTACAGTCTCCTTCTCTCTGTGTCCTCACATGGCAGAGAGAGTGACAAGTGTCTCTCTTTCTCTTCTTATAAGGCCACAGCCCTCCTGGCAATTGGTGGTAAGAGGCTGAAAAGGGAGAGAGCCAGAGGATGCGGTCCTCTAATTCTGAGTAGAAACTTGCCCGAGTCTTAGC